TAGAACCATTTTTGGTGCCACCCCTTCTCCGAGGTAGGGAAGGAGAGCTCTAGGTACTGTTACATCAGATTGTTGCATAGCTGGATGGCGGCAACATTGATCCATTGCGTAGATCCGCTGCCGTCCTTGTTCAAGGACACCCGGAAGATCCTTTGCCACAAATCGAAATGGGGTTCAATCCCAAATAGCACTCGTCGAGGGTGACGAACACCATGAGGTGGACGACCCCATGCAGAGTTAGATCATGAAGCCACAACCCAAAGTAGCGGAGGAACCTCTACACAAAGGGATGTGCAGGGACCCCGAGCCCAGCGAGATGGAAGGGGACAAAAGAGATGACCTGCAACTCACCGGGCACGGGTTCTGTCGCCTCCGGCTCTAGCAGATCCCACCCGGTGGGAGGAAGGATCAGCCATGCCTGAGCCATCTCAAGCATTTTGCCCTCATCCTTCAAGGAGTCCCATTCCACCATCTCAGGTGAGCGAGGGTGAGGACAAATGAGCTCGGCTGTGAGAAGAAAGGAGGCACAAGATAGGAAGGCTAGGACAAGAGGTATGCCCGCTCTTCTTCCCCTGGAGCCTTCTATAACCTGAGCTCACAGGAATGAACACAGGCCAGGGACCGAGCGCGCTACCCACTCTACGCAAGCCTTCTCATGGGACTTGAGGGGATCCAACTCCCCTCGGTCCCATCGGTCGTCATCAATGGCTCAGATCTACGCGCACCAAGTGTCATGGCCTCTCCGCCAGATCTGCTCCATGTGGCTCGATGTCCCATCTACTAGATGAAGTGGGACGACGCGGGAGAGCACGCCATAACTCCTCCAGTGGGTGCGGCAGCCCAGGCACCATCAACTACCTGCACAGGATGTCAGAGGGAGATGCCAGTCCAGAAACCATCTCGCCCACTGGCAAGGAGTCCCGATGATGGCCTCGAGGGCTACACCGACTCCCTATATGTTGAACCCGATCCCCCATCGATGGGCGCCCAGGCGGTAGGCCCCCCAAAACTAACCAACTCCCTAGAGTTGGGTTAGGAGCCACTGAGCGGTGGGCCCAACGAGGTCCCCGTCCGAGCTCGGTGCGCTCCCTGCACCCCGACCTATGATTGCTAAGGTTGGCCTAAGAGGATTGGGGCCTGCTACCGAAGTCCCCAGAAGGGCGTGGTGCACCGAGTGATCAGGTGGCCCTGAGCCAGAGCCTAGACGCTCTCGACCCCCTAACCCATGGTAGGCCTAGATCGGAAAGGAGGGTGCCCTCAGTCCCAAGGCCGACAACTCCAGACGAGTTCACCGGGCCCTCGCTCAGGCCTCAGACTTACTTAACGCTAGTTGAAAAGGGGTCAGCATCATCACTCAGCCCCGATAGCCGAGCACCCCCATCACACTTGGGAGAAGCCCCATGAAGGGCACCGTACTCTCGTCAACGGGAGTCATCCCTGCCATGGCTAGCTCGATCACCTGAAGATTGAATTCAGCCCCTCGTCACCATCACGAATTTGGCTAAGTGAGGCCACCAGGGGCTTAGGGGCTCCTGACAAGATCCTAACATAGGCGTATCTTAAGCCTTGGGATCATGGGTTCCCAACCGAGAGACCCCTTGACCGACCCCTCCAGGATCGCTCGGGGGCTATACCCATCAGGTACGCTCACACATACCCTCCGGCAAAGGAATCAAGCCAAGCCCGAGCATGATGGCCGCGTCTGCCCGGGACTCGGGGGCTCGCCCGAGCCATATGCTCCCAATCGACGAAAGCCTGGACCTGATCCTTGGCTCCCTCCCGGCTTTCAGCGCCAGCCAAGGCCCGGGCATGAAAGGGGTGCCCCGAGCCACCAAGGCTTGAGGGCTCTCCAGTGCTCCCCCGTAGGCGTGGCTCTGCCAACTGCTCCTCCGATAGGGTCACGCACAGGGCGTGACGCAAGAAGACAAACTCCTCTGTTGGCTTCAAGGGCTCGGGGGCTCTCGAGCCCATGTGTTAGCCATCAAGCCGGCCGCCTTCGCCCACCAAGAAGCCTCCATAAGGTACACCTGGTGGAGGCTGGTCCAAGCCGACATAGCCTGACACTCAGTGTGTTAGGACAGAGCAGCTGGATGACGCCTAGAGCTTCTTCAGCTAAGCGACATCGCCACGGTCCACATGGCGCCGCTGCAAGACCCTCCTGGACTCCGGCGCATGTAGACCATAAGCTCAACTCCCCCAAACCGCCATGTACCTAACCAACCACGATATATAAAGGGAGGTCGAATCCAAAGAGGGGGAGGACGATTCCGATCAGATCATTCGAGTCCTCACCGTTCAGCTCACACTCTGCACCGAGAGCAGAGCAACCTAGAGAAGGGCACCGAGAGCTCCTCCGCCGCACCCGTCGTCTTTCTCCTCTCCAACAAGGGGGAAGGCTCCACCAGCGGCGAGGCTAGGATCAGCACCGAGCAATCCCCTACTTAACCTCTCTCTTTCTCCCTTTTGTAACCCCCTCTAGATTTTGGGTGCTCTTGAGTAGAAGGATCATCAACTGCTGGATGTAGGGGCCCGATAGCCCGAACCAGGATAAACCATTGCGTCTCCTCTGTGATTCTTGTGTTCTTGAGTCCACCCGAGCCACCAGAGACACGCACTCTGACACCATGACGAACAACAATGCTTGCTGTAGTTTCGACCCCGCGACACCTCCCAGATGCAATCATGGCCTTGTGGAATCGCCCGTTGCCCCCACTGCCCTACGGCCAGTCCCCTCATCACCTAGTCCACCCTCTGGAGTCCTGAGACGCATACCTACATCCACGTGCCCGCGCCGCGTCGACGTCGTCGCTGGTTGCCAAGCTTGGATCCCAATCATCCAATTCGGTCCATCCTGGTGTGTCCGCAATTGGCAATTTTGTTTGCTTGTTTTGTAATAATTTTTCTTTGCTTTCGAATTTCCAATTTCTAAATGCTAAATCGATTAGCATGGTATAAATTTTGTTACAAACTATATAAGAGGTATGTTTGAAATAAACTTTCTTGCAAAGTTGTATTACTGGGTCAAAGGACTTAAAACGATAACCAATTGATGGACTCATATAGTATATAATATATAAAAAAAACCACCAGATTTTATTTATAATAAGCTTGTATAAGCATACACACCAAAGACCAAACTACAAAATAAGAATTTGTTTTTAGAGTTTTAGGGCCATAGCCCCTGCCTTTCCATTAACATCGAAAGGCACAAATCCATTAAAGCATTCGGGTGATATAACACCAGTAGAAAAAAACCAAGTAACCAGCTGACCACTCACCCAACTAAAGAGAACAACCACACACCTAGGAACAACTACAACATCCGAAACGATACTGAACCTCTCATCAGAAACAGGCACCAACAACTACAACACCTGTAGATTAAGCAAAACTATTGGGTTGATGAAGCCAGCATTGGATCTAACTAAATGTTGAAAGCAGCAGCTAACTCTAACCACATTTGTTTGGCTACAACACATTTAAAGAAGAGATGATTTACTGTCTCCAATCCACAACAAAAAAAAGGCAAGAGGTATCCTCAACTTTTCTTCTTTTACTAAGATTGTCTCTAGTAAGCACTTTATTTTTAGATAACAACCAAAGGAAGCACTGCACTCTAGGTGGAATCTTTAGACTCGAAATAGCTGAGACAAAAATAGGCTTTATACCTCTAACAACCATATAAAGGGATAGAAAAGAGTAAATCCCATTCGAAGTGAACAGCCACACTGAAGAGTCTTCTTCAGAGAAATTAATGGTTGAGGCTAACTGAACAACCTCCCACCACTGTTCCTCCAAATTACTATCTACTGTTCGCGTAAAGGTGCATTTGAGATTCTCTCCATCCCAAATCTCTGCCATAGTCATATTTTTCTCATTCACTATCCTGTATAGCTTCCAGTACTGAATAGCTAAACTGGAGGATCCCAACCAATTGTACTCCCAAAACCTAACCTTAGTACCACTACCTATCCTCCAACAGTAGCCCATTGTTGCCACTTGGGCAGCCCACATGAAACCTTTGAAAAAACTTGAAGCTCCCTCAGTCCTAGTCTGAAGAATATTAGGATTACAAGTGTTGTAATCAAGAAGCCAACATGCAAATGTTTAAATCCCTAAGATTAGGGATGCCTAGACCACCATACTCTTTACACATAGCAACTATTTACCAGTTGACAAGGTAGTACCTACTATTACCCTCTGAGTCGTCATTTGATAAACAATTAGCCATATATGAGAATTCAGCAACTGAATAGCCCATTTAAGGAACTCACGAAAAGAAAGAATGTAAACCGGAATACTAGCTAGACAAGTTTTAATCACAACAACTCTAGCGGTTTCAGTTGATGGATGATGAGCACCATATTTCGTCTCGTCTCAGACGTGGCACGTACTACACGCTGCAATAACAACAACGTACGGCGAAGCTGTATTGTAATGTAACCGACGTTGAATCGGAGAAGGAATAAGGAAGAAAATCTGGAGGCAGTACGATTCAATGTCCTTCATTTTCCGGCCCATTTTTGTCAAAGTCTCAAAGAAAGAAGAGAGAGTGATAGGTGGTGTCACATGCATAGGGCTTAATTTGCACGCATCGCACGATTGCACGTGCGCTTGCATTGCACCTACAAATCGAAGTCGACATCGCGCTAGCTGCTCCTCGCTCCTCCACTCGTTTCCACATAAACAAAACCCATCACGATCGCGCGCTGATGCTCGCCGCGTCACACGTACCATCGGGCGGCGACGACGACGACTACACGCGCGGTGCGCCGGTGGTGCCATTTCCGATCCGAGCAGCTGGCAACCGACGGCGTCACGCAACGCAACACACCTCGCATTTATTTTCAGAGCGGCCGCCCATATATTCTCCTCCGATATATAGCGTGCATCCTCTCGCTCTCCACACTGACCCTCCCCACAACCTTAGCTTAGCTTGCTGCACAGTGCTGTCGATCTGATCAATACCGCAACGCTGTTCATCGACTGGTAATCCATCCATGGCGGCGGCGATGACGACGCCAGTGGAGAAGGAGGTGGTCGTTGATCGGGTGGTGTTCGCGTTGAACGGGCAGCGGTACGAGGTGGCCGGAGTCGACCCGTCCACGAGGCTGCTGGAGTTCATCCGCACCCAGACGCCCTTCAAGGGCCCCAAGCTCGGCTGCGGCGAAGGTATGTACGTACGGTGCGCGCGTGCTAGCTGGCTACCATAGTATGTACGTACGGTGCCCCCCCCCCCCGGCCCCACACCCCAAGCACAGTAGATTTCGTTTAATACCTATATAAATATTTGAATTTATAGCATAAAAATATCAATCTTCACCCATTTTTATTTAAATAGTATGATTTTGGTATAAATAGTATAAAAATATTTAAAAAGTTGTTGAAACATATAATTATGACATGTTCGCTTCTCTTATAATCGGTACTTTTCAGCTTGTTTTTCAGCCGGAACAATATTTTTCTCTCACAACAAATCAGCCAGAATAGTGTTTCGGCTTGTTTTTTCAGCGAAGCGAACGGGGCCTATGTATATTTTATCACACTAAAAAATGCTATCGTATTTGTCCGGCCCCCTTAATCAAAATTGCTGGTTCTGCCACTGCGTTTTCAAAAAGAGTATAATTCTATGTTGGAGTTAAGCCCAATTTACATCATGCTGTGGGAAAAATATTTTACCCGCTTTACAGCATGCCTTATGTTGTTATCATTGAGAAAATATTTTGTCCGAGTTCAAACACCTACCGACGTACGATCGTGCTGTGGGTGATCATAAATGGATAATGGATGGACATGGATGGAGAATATCTTGTGGTTGTGGTGGCTTGAGTATCAAATTAAACTATCTGCGGAGATAGCGATTGGGCTGTACCAGTGTACTAGCACAGTACATGTGTGATTATGGCAGTGTAGCGACGTACGATATATATAGACCTGCCGTGGTCCAAACTCCATAGACGTGCAATAGTCGCCAATTCCTTTTTCCTTTTTTTTAATAGGGATGGTGCATGAGTCCCACGGCTCTAAGAAAAACCAGTACTTTAGAAGGTATAGTATTGCAATGCCATTGGTTTTGTACCTTTTTTTGCAAATAAACATAATAAATTAACCGTTTTAGTCAAGAGACAACTATAGTAAGAATGGTATCAAAAATCAACATTTTTAGCCGCCTCTAAAAAATATCCTCTATTTTATTTATTTTAATTGTCGGCGGGAGAGCCTCTACTTTTTTTTTTCTTTCTATTTTTAACCTAGCCTAGAAATTCATCCCCTATGGGGATTCTAACTTGGCTTGCTGGGGTGCTACTCAGGAGCTCCAACCGCTAGGCTGGAGGTCTGTTCGTAATGCCCTCTATTTTAGAGGTGTCTAAAAAAAGCAACCGCCCCTAGAAAATTCCTTTCTAATAAAGACAACTAACCACATCTAGAAATGGATTTGTAGAAGCGGTTGGCAATTTAGACTGCCTTTACAGCATAGTGAAGTTCTTAACTTTTTCAAATATAGTCAAATGAATGCAAACTTTTATATTAAAGTTGTAGTACCCAAAGATATCTACAACTTTACAATTGACTAATTTTTCATTTGAAACCATTTAAGGCCTCGAAATTTTGTATTAATTTTTAATAATTTGAAATTGGATTTTTTTTATTTATTTATTCAAATAACCTTGGATGGAGAAATGACCTAAACAAAAGTTGTAGTACTCAAAGAGATCTAAAACTTTGAGGTTGACAATATTTTCATTTGGAAGCATTTAGAGCAGGACATTCTTATTTCATTTTTCTTAATTTGAAATTCATTTTTTAAATGTTTTCTAATGATAACGGATGGAAAAAATGATACAAACCAAAATTGAAGTAATCAAAGAGATCTCCAACTTTATAGTTAACTACCTTCATTATATTTGGAACCGTTGAGGTCCTAAAAAGTTCCTTTTTAAGTTTTCAGCATTTGAAATTCATCTTTTGATTTTTTTTTCAAATAACATCGGATTGAAGAACGACCTAAACTAAAGTTGTTGTACTCTAAGAGAACCTAGAATTTTTTAGTTGACTACTTTTCATCTTAAATTGGTAGGGCCCCAAATTTATGTTTAAAGTTTTTAGATTTTCAAATTTATTTTGTTTAATTTTTCAAATGATCTTGGGCGGAGAAACAACCTAAACTAGAGTTATAGTACTAAGAAGAGATAAAACTTTTAAGTTCAAACTTTTTTCATTTAAATTTTTTAGTGTGTCCAATATTTACTATAATATATGCTATAGTAAATACAAATGAATTATATCAACCACTTAGTCTGAAGTAAAAGTAGAGTGGTAAGGAAGAAAAACGCATGAGCCGAGGTTGTGAGTTTGATCCCCACGGCTGCAAATGTGTATATTTTGCACGACACATGGCTGTCGGCAGTTGCCTTGTTGGCTTCTCCTACGGTAAATAAATCTTGCTATTGTTTATCCAATTTGCAAATTCCGTAAATAATTTATAGAGACGGTTGGATTTCATCCTGCCTCTAGAAATTGATCTCTAGGGCGGTTAGGTTTTGGCCTGGATTTCTAGAGACGGTTGATAGTTGCCTAGAGATGGGTGGAATAGTCATCTCTATGAACCCATTCTACCCACCGCTAAAAAAAAGTTTATATAGTAGTATTTTTCTCTGAACTAATAGATCCAAATAGAGCCTAATATCTATGTACTCTCTCTATTGTAAATTATAAGTAGTCATGTGGTTTTTCTAGATATATTGTTAATATTATGTATCTAAATATAATATATATCTAAGTCCTAGCAAAAACTTTGTATATAAAAAAACTAGAATGACTTATAATTTAAAGGGAGTAAGTACCACTCACATTGACATATGAGCACACGCACTAACACGCACCTTACCGTGTCTTCATTAGTTTAATAAACTATTATGTCAAATTCATATGTTAGTTCAAAAAAGGACTGTAAGTAGCGTGACCACATCTCAGTCAGTGTCATAGTCACTTCAATGATTCAATCCATATATATATTTCTCTTGTTTCTAAAAATAAAGAAAATTATGTATTCTACTCGTATTGTCTATTGTTTCCTCCGTTCTAAATTATAAGAGATTTTGGTGTGTGTGTCTATATATATATATATATTGCTTTTACTATATATATAAATGCATAGTAAGAGCTATGAATCTAAAGAAGTCAAAACGTCTTATAATTTAGAATAGATAGCGTAGGTTGCACTGATGGATTACAATAATGTTCAACGTGCAGAAAGTTTGCTTTAGTTGTCTATTTTATATTACTATCTATAGTAGTGACGTGCTCAAGATAAAGGCAATCGTTTCAATTAGTCAATTGTTCCACATACGGAAAGTTTACTTTAGTAGAGGTGGGGCAGGGGCAGAGGGCTGAGTTTCAGTTAGTCACTTGTGCACCTCTGAAGCAAAATTCTAAAAGTCGTGTGTGAGGCAGAGGTGAAAACAATCAAATAAACCTATCTCATTATCACTTTTATATTTATATCTGAAAAATCTAAAAGGGAGTTCGTAATCATGAGCGACATATGATTCATTGATATAGGAAACGAACTAATATGAACATGAACACCTTGACAATGATCCGAAATCAAAACATTACATAACACTAACCCATAGAACCAAGAATGATAACTTCAAGCCTCGACTCAACCAACCATAGTTCATTGTTCACCCTCACATATAACTCAGAAACAAGTATAAAAGCAAATGCAAACGCACACTCATGCGGACACAATTTACTACTCTCCCCGTTCTATTATAAGGGTAGCCAATGCTAAAAACCACGTGTAATATTTCTATATACAAAACTATGTTACCAATAGATAGTTCTATAGAATAATTTTATGTCCAATCACATGTCTTATTTATCTATCTATCTATTACATCTCTTCATAACTTGGTTCTCGTATAGACATGGTTTCTTATCGAAGAAACCATTTTCTCATCTCCCGTCTTTAATTGTAGTGCCACATTATTTAGTTGACACTTTAATTAATGAACAGAGAAACCATCTAGTGTTATGATTGGGAATGGTTAAGATGTTTTGGATTTTCTAGATATATAGCTTTTGTTATGCATTTAAATATATTATACTAGATACATAATAAAAAAGGTCAAAAGTTCTTATAATTTGGAATGGAGAGAGTATTTAAGGATGCAACTCCCTCTAAAAACAAATTCAAGAAATCTAACAATATACGATGAAAAATTGCATATCCCAACAAAAAAGTGGGAAATGCAAAAAAAAAGTCTAAAAACACTAAACACTAAACTTCTTCGTTCTTTCAATATTCTCTCTAAAATATAAAAATAGCATGGGATGAGATTTCCCTCGGTTTTCATCCCTGTGTAGAGTGTGGGAGCTGCTATTAGCCTAGTAACATAGTCCACATAGCTCCATAAGCTAAAGACATATGCATACCTATGTAGCACATATTCTTAGCACTTGTTTGAATACACTATATTTAAATGAGTAAATTGCACGGCCGGTCCTTAAAGTATTGGGCTGATTTCATCTAGGTCCCCAAACTATGAAATCGCACTGTTGGCTCCCCAATCTACTTAATTCAGTCCATGTAGGTCCTAAACAGCCCAGGCGGTGTCAAGCAGTCGACGTGGCTGTCCACGTACGCACGATCTCATCTTCTCCACCTCACTCCTTTCCTTTCTCTCGGACGGACCTCGGGCACGTCCCCATCATCACTGGAGCCAGCGGGACAGCTGGTGGGTGAACGCCCTTGACCACGCCGCGCGCCGATCAAGTGGAGCAAAGACATGCACAGCCTCGCTTGGAGCGTCGCCGTGGTCTTTGAGGGGCCGTCAAGCTTGTCTCGGAGGTCACGGGTCCAACCCGGACGAGCTTCGCCCGGCGGCGGCATCGCTGTTCCCCAAGGACTACGATAGGGACATCTTTGGAGCCGAGGCTGTTCCGGCAGAGGCTCGGCTGCGTACCGGGCGGCGCTGCGTGAGCTCGCCGCCAGAATGGACGTGGCGTGGAAGGAGGATCGGTGGCTCCTGTCGTAGTACCTTGACGAACGGAGGAGCCCGAGCTCGCCGGAGCCGCTAACGCGGAGCGAGCACCGGCTGGTCGACCTCCTGACCGCGCCACGCAGGAAGGTGCACCCGGCGTCCGTGCTCCTGTAGGGCGACTTCCACGTCCGGAGGCGGCTGGTTGGCAACCTCAAGGAGGTGCAGTGGATGGGGGAGGCCTTCGCGGTGAAGCTCTTCGTTGGCGCCGACGTTATGGGCGCCGAGGATGCGCTGCTCACCTCCGTGGCGAGCTCCGGTCGGATGCTGAAGCCCTTCTCGCTCGCCGTCGTCGTCGACATGATGCTGCAGATCGCGCGCGGCATGGAGTACCTGCACTCGAGGATGATCTACCACGACGACCTGAACCCGTCCAACGTGCTTTCGCCATGACGCGGCACGGCGACGCGCTCTCCACGCAAGGTCGCCAGTTCGGGCGGTCCATGGCGGCCGTGGCCGCCACCAACCCGTGCCCACCCTAGGTCGCCATCCTACACATTGGTGGCGGCGGCCAACGAGCGCCAAGCGCCCGCCCTCTTCGGCGGCGGCGGGCGCTTCGCGCCTCCTCGCATCATCGCTGCGCCGCCCGCCCGCAAGGCCGCCGCTCCCGATCTTGAACCGGCTTCCCGACCTCTCTCGCCGACATTCGTCGTCAAGAACCACCACGCCGCCTCAGAACCCCAGACGGTGGCACCACACCCGGCGCCAACCCGCCGCCCATCGTTGCCATGGGGCGGCGCTCGTTGTTCCAAAGAAAGGCGCGAGCTTTGGTGGATCACGACGCGCGGCGGCGGCGGCGGCGGCGAGCGAGCACCGGTGCCGCACGCCCTTCAAAGGCGTGGGCTTCATCATCCGGCCGGGGCTTCGTCGCGGCAGGCGCGCCATGTCGCTTACGCTGGCTGGTGATCTGGAGCAAGCGGCCCGGTGCCCGCGCCACACTTCGCGTCGGTGGCGCTATCGTGGATCGAGTCCGTCGGACCCGCTCATCTCGGCGGCGGAGACGGCGGAAGAGGTGGATTCGCGCCATGAAGCGCGCAGGCGGCGCGGATCCGCTCGCCGATCTGCGAGGCGCGAAGTCACCCAAGCTTAGCTGCGGCGAAAAGTGCGAAGTCCGACAACGGAGGCAGCGACGCCGCCTCGTTCGCTCTCCCGACGCCGGTAGCGGTGACCTCGGTTGCGACGACACGTCGTCGCCTCTCGAATAATCTAAAACAGGCGAGGTCATCGCGAAAGCTAAAGCTACTCGCCAACAAGTTGCGAACGGTAAGACGCCCGGGGCGGACTCCGTCCACGGCGGCGAAAGCAAAGAGCATGAGCACCGGAGACGCCGAGGAGACTCAACGCGGAGCCCGCGGCGGCGGTATGTTGCTCCGGCGAGAGATGCTCAAGCCGCCGCCATCGAGGCGATCACCGTCAATGACGAGGATCGCCGCCACCGTCGACGCTGGGCGCATTGCCGTTGCCAGCGTTGGTGCCGATCATCCTCGCCCGCCTCGCCGCGGAAGCTCCCCAAGGCGGCCGGCCGTGCTTTCTGCGACGTTCTCTAGCTTAGTCGAGAGAGTTCCGGCCGAGGCGGGCCAGCAGTAGCGAAGAGTTCGATGAGCGAGGAGTGGCCCGCGTGGCCCGGTGGGCGTAGGCAACCGCCACCGGAGGACGGGCGCTTCAGCGCGCTCGTTGGCACGTGGACAGCCACGTTGACTGCTTGACACCGTCTGGGCTGTTTAGGACCTACATGGATCGAATTAAGTAGATTGTGGAGCTAATAGTACGATTTCATAGTTTGAGGATCCAGACGAAATCAGCCCAATACTTTAAGAACCGGCCGTACAATTTACTCTATTTAAATCAACGTATGTGTGTTCGAGTAGATTGATATGAAAATTAGTTAATCTTTCACTCTAATTCACTCCATGTACATACGGATCAAGGTAAATACGTGTGCATCTAAATAAAGTCTTAGTTGATTTAAGTTTAACATGTTACAGTTAATATATACAGTTACTTGACCTCTGACTTTACCATCACTTATTTATAACTGGAAATAGTATAATAAGACTTGTAAAGATTGAAGATTTCGCTTGACGGCAGTCAAGCCAACACGACGGCTTTGACCCTTTTCGTCGAATAGCTTCCAAGCACTTTTTCTCCGTGTTGAGTTACTAACCAAAATCCTAAAAAGTGCTACTGTATTTATCACATCGAATTTTACGATACATGCATGAAGTATTAAATATACATAAAAAAAATTAATTACACAGTTTAATTAGAAATTATGAGACAAACATTGTAAACCTAATTAATTCATGATTAAACACTAATTATAAAGGTACGTAAAATTCCAAACATAAGCCAACTAAACACGCGCTTACTTCGCGCGCCGCCGTCGTGCGACAGCCGTCCGCCAGTCTCCACACCCCCTAGCCGTCGACGCATGAAGAAGCCGCCATTCCCGTGCCGTGCTTCGCCGATGCGCGGCGGCAAGGGACTTCCCTGTCCAAGGCGCGGGAATGCGCGGGCTGCTGCCACGAGATGAGCTCGGTTCGGCAGAGATGCCGCCAGGATCGAGCTCCTTCCGTGCGTTCGGTCTTGGTGGCGCCCTTTATATCCATCAGTGACACCAGGGTAACGAAACAATGTTCTATTTGTCCTATGTAGTGCGACTGCAGATTCAGGTTAGGTTTACATTTCTTGATATAGATAGGATTTTTTTTTTCGGGCTATCTGCCTGATTGTGAGACATTGCAGGTATTAGGTAGTTGTTTGGCAAGGCTCTTAAAAGTTCATGGAAAGGCCACTAAAATACGATGTCAAAAGTATCTCTTCTCAAAAAGAAGCATGCAGATATTTGTATCCGCATGATAGTAATCCTTAAAATTGTAAGATTGTAAACTGAATTAATTCATTACATCTCAATCACCTTGTTGACTATATTTGTTTTTTTGGAGGTTTAAATTCTGGTATGGAATTAAAAATCTTTACCAGACAAATCAAAACGCAACATATTTGGTTATTTTAGTTAGATTCAGATCCTTCAGTTCAGTCTATTCTTACACATCTGTGTGGTATATTTAGTATGACTTGTTCTCACTAGTTCATATTGCAGGCGGTTGCGGGGCTTGTGTTGTCCTTATAGCAAAGTATAACCCAAAGACGGATGAAGTGACTGAATTTACTGCAAGTTCATGCCTGACACTTCTTTACACTATAAATTTATGTTCGGTTATCACTACTGAGGGTCTGGGGAATAGCCAAGATGGCTTTCATGCTGTTCAGGAAAGGATGTCTGGGTTTCATGCCTCTCAGTGTGGCTTCTGCACTCCTGGAATGTGCATGTCTATTTTCACTTCCCTTATCAATGCTGACAAATCCAAGAGGCCTGAACCACCAAAGGGGTTCTCAAAACTTAAAGTGTCAGAAGCAAAAAAGGCTTTCTCTGGCAACTTGTGCAGATGCACTGGTTACCGTCCAATTGTTGATGCCTGAAAAAGTTTTGCATCAGATGTTGACTTGGAGGATTTGGGCCTTAATATATTCTGGAAGAAAGGTGATAGGAACCCAGATGTTAGTGAATTGCCAAGTTACACCCTTGGTGGCGGAGTCTGCACCTTCCCAGACTTTCTAAAAACTGAGCTAAAATCTTCTCTTGATCATCTGAATAATCCTTGTATTGCAGCCTCCAGGGAGGGTTGGTATCATCCGAGAAGTATCAAAGAATATTATGAGTTAATAAATTCTTGTCTATTTAGTGACTCAGTCAAAGTGGTTGTTGGGAATACTAGCAGTGGTGTACCAGGATACAAGGATCAAGACCTCTATAGTAAGTATATTGACATAGGAGGCATTCCTGAACTTTCAAATATTGTAAGGAGGGAGTCTGGCTTTGAAATTGGAGCAGCTACATCAATCTCTAGAACCATTGAGATACTTGAGGAAGAATGTGAATCTATATCCTCTCCAAATGGGAGTGTGGTTTTCAGAAAACTTGCGAACCATATGAGCAAAGTTGCTACACCTTTCGTTCGTAACACAGCTAGTATTGGAGGAAACATAGTTTTGGCACAAAGATTCCCATTTCCATCAGATATTGCAACCATACTCCTCGGTGCTGGTGTAACTGTTTGTCTTCAGGTAGTTGCAGAACGGAGACAAATTACTTTGGAAGAGTTCCTAGAGCAGCCTCCTATAGATGCTACTACTTTACTCCTGAGCATATTTATTCCACACTGGATTCAAGATTCTGGGACAAACACAAGTTTGTTATTTGAAACTTACAGAGCAGCGCCTCGTCCTCTTGGCAATGCTGTTTCATATGTAAATTGTGCTTTCTTGGGGCATGCTTCTGTGGATGAACTATCAGATAGTCTTGTTTTGAGTAATCTGCGGTTGGCTTTTGGTGCATATGGAACAGAACATGCTATTAGAGCAAAGAAGGTGGAGGAATTCCTTACTGGTAAATCACTCACTGCATCGGTTGTACTTGGTGCAATTCAATTACTTAGAGAAACGGTTGTACCAATGGAGGGAACATCACATCCTGAATATAGAGTCAGTGCAGCTGTTGGATATCTCTTCAGTTTCCTATCTCCGCTTTCTAAAGGCATCCCAGAGCCTGGAAAGTCTCTGGCCAGTAGTTCTGCTGATTCAGCAGATACAGATGATGTCTGCAATCTGCCATTATCAACGCGTCGAGAAACATTTTCCAGTGACGATTATAAACCAGTTGGTGAACCAATTAAGAAGTATGGTGTTGAACTTCAAGCGTCTGGTATGTGGTTACATTAGAATTTTTAGTAGTGTTGTCAACATATTCTCCAGAATCTTTTTGCAGAGCAAGATTTGATGTTTCTATTGTGTAATACAGGGGAGGCAGTATATGTGGATGATATTCCTGCTCCAAAGAATTGCCTCTATGGAGAATTTATTTACAGCACACAACCCCTTGCTTATGTCAAAAGTATAAAATTCAAGTCTTCTTTAGCATCAGAGAAGATCATCTCTTTTGTTTCTGCAAAGGATATTCCAAGTGGAGGACAAAATATTGGATCATCCTTCTTGTTTGGTGACGAACCACTATTTGGTGATCCGATTGCTGAGTATGCTGGTCAAGCTCTTGGCATTGTGGTACTTACCCTTTCATGTTTGTATTATAACCACTCACAGGAATTGTTGCTCTCTTGAAAATCTCTTTGATAAAAGACAATTATGAATATTAATGACCATAACCAGTATTGCTAAATCATTACCTCTACCTCAGATTGCAGAAACACAAAGGTATGCTGACATGGCAGCCAAGCAGGTTATTATTGAATATGACACAGAAGATTTGAGCCCACCGATCATAACTGCGGAGCAAGCAGTGGAAAAGAGTAGCTACTTTGATGTCCCCCCAGAATTGTATCCTAAAGAAGTTGGTGATGTTTCCAAGGGCATGGCAGAAGCTGATCACAAGATCCCATCAACAGAAGTATTTTAGTTCAACAACTTTCCAGAATCGTTAATAATTTCATTTCACTTGCATCATAAAATAATGTAGGGAAATTAAAGCATGCAGTTCTATGTGCTCCAAAATTTAATTTTTCATCCTGTGTAGAGTCAGCTTTGAACTACACTGTACATACTGTTGCATTAATACATCAATAGTCAAAGAAACCTTATCATTTGAGAAGCCAAACGTTGAGATAATCCGCCTGAGTTGAATACTACGAAACCACTACTTCTGAAAGTTCGGATTACTGAGTCACTTTTGTAATGGTTACTTCAAATTAATTGCTAGCAGTAGCTACTTCGAAGTTAAGATTGAAATAACAATTACTAATAGTAATTCTCTGTTTTGTTTTGAGGTGATCTAGGTGTCGAACAGTACTTGTGTTAGATTAATTTTTTTCCTTGAACTACGCAGGAGAGCTGCGCGTGATTTCATTAAGAAATTGTGTTAGATTAATAACCAACTTTCGTGGTATATGTATTGCTTGCAATCCCATGAAATTGATCTGCACAATGGAGTTGCAATGCTTGTACAGCAGTACACCCCACCAACCAAACTACCAAAGTTATTTCCTGCTTGATGATTTTGATCTTTTTTGAGTCTTGATATGCGACTTTAGCCATTACTTTAACTTTATGTTACGTTAAATCACTAGAATTTATCAATAGTGTAATGTTGGTAACTATTTTTAATGTTACATATTTTTTTTGAAAGGGCGGCAATAGTTTTGCCGCTAGTTTGGCCCAGTTCTTTGAGTGGAAACTGGTCCAGAAATCACGACTAATAATGACACATTTAATGACTCATTTTTCTTGTATATCCAACTTTGACTTGAAATATATACATGTTAAATAATTTGGGATGTTTCGCATAGATAATAAAGCGTCAATTACGGTAGAAGTTTAAAATATAGAAGTTTGAAATTGCATAGTAAGACCCATCAATGTACTTCTCACTAGTACCTATCCTACTTCTCTTTCCATGGAAGCTAAGAGAGGATATCTCATGTAGTTTTGATGACTGCAGGTAAAACTTGCCTCTGAGTACTACTTCTACATGGAAACGCAGACAGCACTAGCAGTTCCAGATGAGGATAACACTTTGGTAGTCTACAGTTCGTCACAGTACCCTGAACTTGCACAAAGTGTCATAGCAAGGTGCCTAGGTATTCCATTCAGCAATGTGCGTGTCATTACAAGAAGGGTTGGAGGAGGCTTCGGTGGAAAGGCATTCAGATCATTCCAAGTGAGAATAAACAAAACTAGATCATAATAACCAAAATCTTCCATTTTATGAAAACTAATTATTTTTAATATAAAATCTTTACCCTGGTGTATAGTTTATTGTACTTTAGTATCTTTTTTAACTTGTGATGAGGTCATTGCTTGTTTAGACCTGGACTAGTGTCAGTTTTTTTTTTAAAAAAAAATCCTTATTATTCTTCAGTTAAGAGCTTTTTCCTTGGACTTGCAAGCTGAAAAAGGACATCGAAGTTTACATTTATAGACTTATAGTACAGATGAAAAAGATATTATTCTGTTTTCTATATATACAGTTCTAAACTTTGAAAATTGTTAAATGCAATATTTTTTTCTACTTTGTTAACTGCATTGTTTGTGGAAAATAAATGTTGTATTGATAGTTTGTAGAATGAGGTTTGATTATTTAGGAATCATATTTTCCGAGGAAAGCCATTTAGGCCTAATTGGCAATATATTCATTTAACCATGCGCTTTTACACCATGCAATTGCATCTAACTCTGACTCTTTTATTTGGGCTTCGCAATAAAAAAAACCCTAGCCCAAAATCAAATTAAGTCTCTCTAGCAACTATTTTAGACTTAAGTTTGTTGGCCCTCGATCTACTTTAGAAGATCTAACAACTATTTTAGACTTAAGTTGACATATTTGATATTTTAGTCTGTGGTGATTGCATATGACAATCTGCTATCAATATCATGAAATCATAAAGACCTAGTACATTACCATCTGTTTCTTACATATGATACATGCTTGTGCAGGTTGCAACAGCAGCTGCACTTTGTGCGTACAAGTTACGACGCCCTGTACGAATGTACCTTAATCGCAACACTGATATGGTTATGATTGGTGGTAGGCACCCAGTGAAAGCTCATTATTCTGTCGGATTCAAGTCTGATGGGAAAATTACGGCCTTGCATCTAGATTTATTAATTAACGCTGGGATATCTCCAGATGCAAGCCCCATGATACCAGGCACTATTATATCTAGTGTCAAGAAGTACAACTGGGGTGCTCTGTCATTTGACATCAAGCTCTGCAAAACAAATAATTCATCTAAATCTGTAATGCGTGCTCCTGGAGATACACAAGGCTCTCTAATTGCAGATGCTGTAATTGAGCATGTTGCGTCTGTCCTGTCAGTGGATGCGAACAGCGTGAGGGAAAAGAATTTTCACACCTATGATACCCTTCAGTTGTTCTACCCAGATAGTGCGGGCGAAACTTCTACGTACACATTGCATTCTATTTTTGATAGGTTGGCCGCAACTTCAAGCTACCTGGATCGAGCTGAATCCATAATGAAATTTAACAGTAACAACAAGTGGCGGAAACGGGGCATCTCTTGTGTACCCCTCATTTTCAAAGTAGAGCCAAGGCCGGCCCCAGGAAGGGTTTCTGTGCTCAATGATGGCTCCATAGTGGTGGAGGTTGGAGGAATTGAAATAGGGCAAGGTCTGTGGACAAAAGTACAGCAGATGACTGCCTTTGCTCTGGGAAAATTGTGGCCTGATGGAGGTGAAAGTCTTCTTGAGAGAGTGCGTGTTCTACAGGCTGACACCTTGAACTTAATACAAGGTGGGCTTACTGCTGGCAGCACTTCTTCTGAATCTAGTTGTGCAGCCACCCTTCAGGCATGCAATATGCTGTTTGATAGATTAAAGCCAGTCTTGGATAGGCTGCAGCAGCAATCAGAAAATGTCTCATGGGATACTTTGATTTCTCAGGCAAGTTTATCCTCCTCTAGTTTGTGCTCATGCTTTGTACAATACTATTTCCTGCTGTAGCAGCAATCAGAAAACGTCATGTAATGTTTCCAAGCAGGCCTCTAAAGATAATGTTAATTTATCTGCAAGTGCGTACTGGGTACCTGGCCAAGTTTCTAATAAGTACCTTAACTATGGAGCTGGTATAAGTGAGGTGCGCTAAAATTCTCAAGACTAATTTACAACAGTGCAGTTAAATCATGTTTGGATGTCTTATAGGTGATACTCTTTCTATTCAAAATCTTCTAAAAAGTGCAGGTGGAGATTGATCTTCTTACAGGAGCAATTACTTTAATAAGGGGCGATCTTGTGTATGACTGTGGGAAGAGTTTGAACCCTGCGGTGGACTTGGGACAGGTTAGCTGTCGATCCTTTTATGCTTCCTGTCTTAACCAATTTTAATTTTGAATGTTGTTCATTGATTTATAGAGTACAGACTATAGTTTTGGACTGGATGAGGGTAATATAATTTAAGTACATCAGAAATATGAAGCACATTTTCTGTTAATTGTTTGATATATATTAGAGGGTTAACTTGTTGGGTGGCATTTTCAAATGAAAATGGGTTAACTGATGGGGATTTAATTTTATATCTGCAAACATTCAATTTATTGCAGGTATAGTTTTGAAATGTTGCATGTTTTTTTTTTCTCGAACTGTGTATCTTTAAAGAGAGAGAAATAGTAGACCCTTACAACACAATCCCCATAATCTCAGTTTAGAGGGGGTTGCGAAAAGAGAATAAAAAAATGATCACCCGATACAAAATGACCGAGTGTTGTATGTTTTCATATTTTGCAATATTCAGTCTTGGCGACATTTGCAAACACTGTATCTTCCTGACTATTTATGTGATGGATATGCTAACAATTAGATGCAACTAACTGATAGAACTAATGTTGAGCTATTTGGCCATTTCCCTTGTCAAGACTCAAGAGTTTACTCTGCCCTGTTGTGCTCCATACCGATCTCTTGAACATATAAGTACAGCTAAATACTGGCACAGGTTTTGCAATATAGCAACTGCCTTATTGGGCTCTTGTGCATAAATTTGATGGCACCATATCTTATCCATGGAATTTTTTTGCAGATTGAAGGTTCCTTTATACAGGGAATTGGTTTTTTCGTATATGAAGAGTATATTACGAACAGTGATGGCCTGATGATTAGCAACAGCACATGGGACTACAAGATCCCAACTGTCGACATAATCCCAAAGCAGTTCAATGCTGAGGTGCTGAACACTGGATACCATAAGAACCGTGTGCTTTCTTCGAAAGGTAGTCACATTTGTTACTTCCTCATTGCAGTGTAGATTGAAATAGGCTTGGTAGATACCAATCAATTTGTACTGTTTCTTCCAGCTTCTGGTGAACCTGCCTTGGTTCTTGCCTCATCCGTTCATTGTGCACTGAGAGAAGCTATCCGGGCAGCAAAAGTGGAGTTTGCAATCAGTACTGTATCTGGACGCTCACCGCTGGAATTTCAGATGGATGTCCCTGCACCAATGACACTGGTGAAAGAACTGTGTGGTTTAGATATTGTGGAGAAGTACTTAGAATGTCTATCTACCTATGAACGTGCGGCTGGGGCGTAATCTAAAGTCATATGTTATCGCATAATAAAAAGGACTGGCATCAGCCTATTGCTTGTTGTTTACAAGAAAACATGCGCGTGTCGAGTGTGTGTGGATGAGCGCACAATATTTGAATGCTTTCAGCCATCTGTATTCATGAACCCTTATTAAAACTACTGCAAGTGGTTATGTTAAGTAATTTATTGTTATGAAATTTGACTGTCGGTCAATTTTATAAAATATTTTCCTGTAGCTTAATCAAAAAAAGCTGGTGAACCGGACCGTTTTATTTGAATGGACATTTCATGACTTAGCTATCTATACTATAAATGAGCGAAGAAATTGAAAAACACTTGTTACCTAAAAACGTTCTACCCATCTAAGATTAGAAAATGTCCAAAGCAGCCCGAGGCACGACGGTCTGACATGAAGCACACAATTTTGGCCCGGACCAAGCATGGCATGACCCGATGGTCAGTGAGCCTGAGCTGGCCCGGCCCGAGGGAGCAGGCCGTGGCTGGGCCGCTGCTCAGGCCGTGGGCTGGCCTGGCCTCACCCCTCCCCCTTCTCACTCCTCCCCTCCCCAAGGCCCAGCGCGGCCCACCGTCCCTGCCTCCCCCCGTTGGCCAACTATAACTCCACTCCGCCTCCATAATCCCTCCATCCGGCCTCCCCCATCCCCGGCCACGCCGCCGCCTCCACCTCCACTCCACTCCGCCTCCCCCATCCCCATCCCCATGCCGCCGCCTCCAGAGCTCCACCTCCTCCATGCGACGGCGTCGAGTGCGGCGGCGGCGGCCGCCTCCACGGCCCCCTGCGCGTCTGGTTGTGGCCGCCTCCTCCGCGCCCCCCGCACGGCTTCGAGCGGAGCGGCCTCCATCCCCTCCATGGCGCTGACCCCGCTCCTCCTCGTCTCCTCCCCGTCCCTCGACCACGCTGAAGTCCAGCGCGACAGCAGTGCCGACGTCGAGCACAACAACGGCCGCCTCCTCCACGCCCCCACACGTCTGGCCACCTCCTCCGCGTCCCCCTACAGCGGCTTCGAGCAGAGCGGTCTCGATCCGGCCTTCTACGCCCTCAATCCAGTTGGACTGCTGCGGATCCGCCTGCTACTTCGCCGGACTCGCCTCCTCCGCCAGCTACTTCGCCGGATCCGACATCAAGCGACCTAGGGGTGAGCTCGCCGGCGGCCGCCGCCACCTCCACTCCTCGCCTCCCCCTCCTCTCTGTCGCATTTGGTGGGCCTCGGGGCGCTAGCCCAACCTGCTAAAAAGGCCGGGCTCATCGGGCTGGCCCGGCACAGAAATTGCCCGACAGGCCGTGCCTGGGCCGTCGGCCAGGCACGAAGGACTGGTGCAGCACGGCCCGATGGGCCCTTCCATGCCGTGCCTAGCATGGGCCCGTGCCGTGCCGGACTGGGCCGGCCCGTTGGCCATCTGTATCTAAGAACTCCACCTTCGTCCTACCCATCTAAGATCTCCACCTTTAGATTTACATTTAACGCATATGATTATTAGTTAACTGTGGGCAACACACGTTTTCCCTCACGAAACGAGCACCTCCGATCCAAGTTTTTTCGCCGCAAAACTTTCTTCACCCGCGTACCCGCGTACCCGCGCCCTCGCACCCTACCCGCCCGCCGTACCCGCTCAGCGGTTCGGCTTCTGCCGTTTCCCATCCCCTCCAGATCTGCGACGCGACTCCAACCGCTTCCCTCCCTCCCCCACGCGCGACTCCTCCCACGACGTACGCCAGGACGGGATGCCGGCCACCACGGCCGGTCGTCGGCCACCAGGCACGACCACATGCCACCAGGGCCGGCCGCCGGCCACTGGCCACCAGGCACGGCCGCAGGCCACCAAGCCCAGTCGTTGCCCACCAGGCACGACTGCCCGCCACCATGGCCAGTCCACCGGCCATCAGGAACGCTAGGGCCTGCCTCCGGCCAATCCGTTGCGGCGGGGGCCTCCGAGCCGCCGCATCAGGCGGTTACTCCCACCGTGGCTGTGTCGGTCGCCCCCGCGGCGGAGGAGCCCAGGGGCTCGGGGCGGAGGCGGCCATGACGCGAGGAAGACTTCGAAGTGCGCCCCGCGCTCGCCATCTCCGAGTCGGACCACGCAGTGCTCGTCGACGCGGACTCCGACCAGATCCGCGCGGGCAAACTCATCAGCCTCGGGGCCGTTGCCGGGTACGTGCTGCTGGCGGGCGGGAACGTGCGCCGTGGTGAGCGAGCCGGAGTCCTGGGCGATGCTGGCCACGGCGGCCGTCGAGATGGTGCAAAATATTTGAGGAAGTTCAGCAAAAGGTGACTCATCGTCATCCTCAACCTCTACTACTACTACCGGTTCCGCCCTGCCTTTTTCGTATTTGATTGATGTTTCTTCTCCATCTTCATGAGTTTGCAGGGCAAAGTGATGCATGCTAGAGATGATGTACCCCCAATCCCCCATGGGGTCAACGAATTTTTGGATGCCAGGTCCAATGACCCTAACTTTACCTTCTGTTTGTTATTTTCAGTCCTCCAGATACTTTCCCTTTCGATTACCAACCACTAGATTATTCATCCTTACAGAACTCCCCCCCTCAAATCTTATAGCAATATAGTAGTTGAAAATTGTCAGCTCTTGCAATCATTCTCTGCGATTGAAGATCTATGTTTTGATCTAGAGATGCATCAAGGTTCGCTCTGTTCCCACTTCCCACTGTGAAATGTTCTGATTATTAACTAAAATAAAACTCATCAGTGTTTGAATTGGTTCAACCTTTTGTTTTCTTTTACTGCAATGTATGGTTATATCTTAACGGGTGTCTTCTATCTCTATTCATCTCCTATTCCAGGTTTTTGCTTTGTCACTTGCAGTAAATTTCAGTTTCTTCCTCTTATTTTTTTGTGTAGGAGAGGGGTTCCTCGAAGGCATGCTGTTGGATAGATGGCTTCTGAATTTGGTTCGCATATGTGGTTTTGTTGAAGACTATAGCATCGTGGACACTGACCAACTGTAAGTATTGGTTTCTGTACTCTGTTTAGACCGGTGATCTGTTCTCTCATTATGCTATATCCTTATGCCACTACATGTCAGTGTTGCATTCATCCAATGAGAGGTTACAAGTTTCTGCAGCCGACTTTTGGGAAGCTCATGTTTACATAAAATATTGTGCAGTAACTTGCATATCTACTTTGCTGTGATTACCGTATAGTTAGTTCAACGATCAGCTTTTACTAGCTCCTTGACAGCCACCGAGCAAGTGTGCCTCTCGGCATGCCGGCGCTGCCACTCAAGAGCCTGGTGAGCCTCGGGGACCTGCTGGGCTTTGACACTCCTGAGTTGGAAGCCATCACAGCAATGAGAGGCATGTCAGGCAGTAGCAGTTCATGAAAATGGCATGTCACACATATGTGAAACCCCCTTGGAATCTGATGTTTCTGCTGTAATAGCAACTCTGTATCATTTCTTTTTTGTGTGAAACTTAAATCCCATTTTATTCTTCACTATGGAAACACATATCTTCTTTTTCTTGTTTTCATGTGCGTGCTTGAAATATTGCCGTAGCGTGCTCTGTTATGCATTATTTTTTGTTTTTTTATCTGCAGTAGATTTTTGTAGAAAAAAAATTGGTAAAATGGGAGTTCTTCTGCCGGACTTCTTTGGATCTAAAAAATGTACTTCCAGTTTTAGAGACCATCTTTTTAGCCTGTGCCTAATCTTAATTTTTTTTGTTGCTACTGTATTCAGGTGGACTTGTGTAGTTTTGCATCTTTCTTACCTGTACATGTAATTGTATATAATAACTAAATTATTTCAACAATCTTATTTTGACAGCTACCTAACTACCTATTTCAACAAATAATATTAACTCAGGAAGCATCTGCAACCAAATTGCAGCATATTGCATTGTTGACACTGAGCCTTCATTCAATCCATTTGCAGAATTCTAGATAAGTGAGCCTTGTGGCCTGAGGATGTTTGTTTCTTAAGTGATGAAAAATCAGTAAAAAGATATTCAAGTGTATTTTTGCTCACTAGACTTTTCATAGTAGATTGATAGGTTTCTGTTTGTGTGTTTTGAAGGTGGTGGTGAGCGCAGCCGAGTTTCTCAAGCGCAACGGCGTAAGCCTTGGTGAGCCCGCTGCTCTTGCTTCATATTACCTTGTCCACCTTCTCTCTGTCCTTCCCGTTTTGATTATTCATTTACTGCAGTCTGTTAATGTTTTAAGAAGAACATTATCGATCTTGTAAGCTGAAAATAATCAGCGCCAGACACCAGCGTCGCCATGTGCGTAGAGCCCGGACGTCGTCTCCTCCCGTCCCACCGCCATCGTAAGGTCTTCACTATGAGTGCCCTGGGAAAAGCCGATGAACGTGATCAACTACAAGGGCGAGGAAAAGCAAATTATCTGCCAAGATGAAGGATATCGTTTAGGCCCCAAGTTATTTAATTGTATTAAGATGAGCATCATTTATTAAAGTTTAATTCTTACGCTCTATTTTGAATAATTGTTTTATATTGATATATATTTCAAACAATATATATGGATATATATTTATGAATAGAGTCGAATCATATTCACTATGTATCAAAAAGTTTTCATAGCACGTGCGTGTCGCGCATGCATGTCTACTAGTAGCATTAAAGGGATTAGTTCACATAATATATCTATTTAGTGTTGTTGTATTAAGGTTAGCATTGCCTTGTTAGTTTTGATGTTATTATGGCTGCTAGCATTAATATTAATATTAATAATCTGAAAAATTGTTAATAGTTTGATAGGATTTATGGTACTGTTTGGTTTGAGCCTGGGAGCTGTAATGGCAATGTAATCAGGAAGCGGCACTATCTGTTACAGCTTAAGAAAAATGTGACTTTGTTTGGTTGACAGCCGCATCCGTGGCTCCACTTAGCGTGATCTGATAACAGCAGGAGATCGAGGAGCGGTATCGGTGTTGAACTAACCCATATCAGGTCCCTCCGTCATCGACCCCGGGCTAGCCAAACCAAACAAGAGTAACGTGATCTGATATCACCTTGAATGGTTCCGGGTCCAAAAACACCGAACAAAACACCACTTGAGTTCTAAACATAAACGACTGTCTCCAACAAGCTATGCAAACTGCTACCCAAACCCATTTTGCGTCCTGCACAGTGAAAAAACGTCCTCCAACAGGGTAGTCAAAGGGAGTGCCTATTTTGAGTAGAAGGAGAGAGAGAACCCAGATATGCGTCCTCTTTCGGTCGTCTCTCTCCTCGACCCAATCGCAGCCTGCATCGGGTCGGAGCTCTCACCCACTTCTGCCTGCAGGGCCACGTCTGCATCGGGGTTGGGCCTGCGGCCGCCGCTAGATCCCGCGTCAGGGTAGGGGAGGTTGCATCCACGGCTAGCCATGGAGAATCGGGGCGAGGAGAGAGGAGCTCACGTTGCCGAAGCAAGGCCACGCGCCCGCGGCGGAGCCGCCGCTGGATCCCGCGCCGGGACCGCCGCCGGAGCCCGCGCTGGGGCAGGGGAGGTCACATCCACAGCCGGCCATGGAGAATTGGAGCGAGGAGAGAGGAGCTCGCGCCGCCAGAGCCCGCGTCGGGGCAGGGGAGGTCATGTCCATGGTCGGCCATGGAGAAGCAAGCGGCAGGGGAAGGGAACGCCGGTTGGAGATCCGTCGGCAGGGGAGGTCGCATGCAGGGAGCCGCGGGCGGCGCTCGGCGGGGTTTGGTGAGTGGGTTTCTTTTTTGCATCCTCTGTTGGAGAGAGAAGTTTTAGGTGCCAGACCCTTTCTTCTGTGCGCAACCCAAACCGTCGAATGCATCTCGCATTTAGGTTCCGACGGTTGGAGACAGTCTAAAGATTACTTCATTCTATTATATCAGGTATGCAAGTTCCTCATCCACCACTGTTTTAGGAATTCAGCCTAGATATATGTCATTCCAGCTGATTATACTGTGCGTGATACATCAAATTACTCGTCGGTGGTAAAAAAACAATGTATACTCCACCAAATGATATCGTGAACAATGTCGGACAAGTCCAGTAATGAGGGACTAATGTTGGTGAGTAAAGGTTCAACGTCGACAAGGTAATATACCTCACTAGATGATATGGTGCACCAATGGGCAAACAATTTTTTTTAAAAAAAATTTCAAAGGGTTTCTACTCACTTTCCTAATGGTATTAGAGTGCTTTGAGCCTACTTGAAGCTAGAGCAATGGTATCCACACTCTATCCAACCTCTCAAGTGTATAAAGATCACATCCAAGGCCAGGATAGACCTCACTTTTCATCTCTGTGAGGGTTAGGCCTTAGTGTTTTAGAGCTTTGAGCTCTGTGAGGGTTAGGCCTTAGTGTTTTAGAGCTTTGAGAGATTATGCATTGTGCCCTTGTAACTTGGTAAGCCAAAGTACTACAGGGCTTAGTGACCTTCCATTGAGAGCCTTGATGGCCTTCTAGACATCAACCCTCCAAGCTTGGTGTGTTCGGGCAACATGACAACTTGGTGTGCGAGAGACGAGGATACCCCTTCCTTGGTGGATAAGCTATGTAGTGGATGGCACCTTAGTTATTGAGAAAGTCAGGCAAAAAGTCTTGAGCCTTATTAGTGGCTTACGACACTTGTCTTGGTTGGCGATGGCCTTTGTCGTCGCTTGTCAACACCGTGGACAGGGTAAGGCTTCATGATTAGGAGTATATCCTTTGTGGAGCTCTAACATGGACTAGGGGTTGTGTTTTGGGAGCTGATACTATGGAATAAATCTTCTTCTTTAGATTTTGCTCACTCATGACTTGATTTTTACCTTACCCATTTAAGCTTCTACATTGTGCTTGTCTTATGTGACCTTTACCTAGATTAGCAAAGGCTAGCTTATATGTTTAACTTTTCATTGCAAAACTCTTTGCAGGTTTGTTAAGGTATAGCACAATAGAAAAAATTAAGGTGAACATCATACTATAGTAGTTTATGGTTTTTCTAGTGTAGATGAAGTTTGTGCCTATGTTTATGTTCTAATTGACCTAATTCACCCCCTTTGGCTCACATGCCCCTACAAGTGGTATTAGAGCCAGGGTTCACACCTTTCACAAGGCTAAACCAATTTCATTGTCAAATTTGTGAAACCAGGTCATTGGTCCTGTAGGCTTCACTGCCTAGTGAATTTTATTATTGGGAGTGGGGATGAATACCGATAGGACTCCACATTTTCATGGTTTTTCCTTAATGGAAGGTGATGTTGGAAGCACACCTTCAAGCTAAGGAGGTTGATGTTTGGTGTGTCACCAATTAGGGTATGAAGAATGATACTAAGATAGAGAGACAATGGGATTCTATTACTAAATCTACCTTATCGTCTTCTCTTTATCATAGTGTCTTTAGTCATGTTTTTTCTTGCAAAAATCCCAACAACTTTGGAAGTTTGCCAATGAGAACCATGGAGGAAAAAAGGATGTGGAAAATGAAAAGTATCATGT